AAATAAAAAATTGTTTAAAACAGAAAAAATAACTAATCTATTTTTAACATTTTTAAGTCCAAAGATTTAAAAAAAAAAATTAATTACAAAAAATATTTTTGGTCGAAACCATTCAAATTTTTTGAAAAAACATTGCATATTGCAAAATTGACAAAAAAAAAGGGAAACTAATTGAAATTTTGAAAAATTTTATAACAAAAAATTTTTATTTTTTTAATTCCAAATTTATATATAAAGTCGTTTAGAAAAAATTTTTTTTGGTCGAAACTAATTGCAATTTCAAAACATTTTATAATCTTCAATTAAAGCATACACACAGTTTTCGAAAAATATTGCATAATTGGTGTTGCCACACTTGACATTTAACGTGAATTTTGCATATTCTTGGTGCAGGCGCTTTCGCGACACATTTCACTAAAAAAACATTTTGAAATCTACGCTTGTGTACGCAAATATCTGTCACTCACAGTTTTCTAAGTTTAATTTGCTAATTTGCGAATTTGCTTTTCAAAAATTGTATGGCTTACATTTTGATCTACAATTATTGTTATGACATATTGCTATTGTAGCTTAATATTTCTACACTTTTTACACACACAATACATAATTAATAATTATATTAATAATAAAAAAAATATTAATAATAAAAAAAATATTAATAATAAAAAAAACATTAATAATAAAAAATAATCGTGTAAATTATAAAAAAAATAAAATTAAAATGATAAAAGTATTGTTACAAAAATATTTAAATAATTTAAAAATAAATTCAAGCAAATAATTATTTTTTCGAAACAAGAAAGCAATTGCCGCTTTAAAAACTATTTACTGTTATACCAATATTCTTAAACACTTGCTATTGTAATTATTATTTAAAACGTACAATTTTATGCATGAAATAACTTTTTTGTTATAAATATTACAAAAAACAAAAACAAACCACCACTTTGTTTTTAAATTACAAAAAGTGCGCGTGGCTTTCAAAATTAGTATTAAAATAAATATATTTACTAATGCTTGTTGCACACGTTCATTGACCCACTGTTTAAGATTTTGGCATACATATTTTATTCATACTTTTTTAATTACAATGTAATTTTTATTTTCGTTATTGTTATTGTTGTTGGTTTTATAACTCAGCAAGTTCTTAAAATTGCAATCAAGCGAATTCGATATAAATACAAATGTGTTTGTATGTATGTATGTACAATAAATGCAAAATTGAACTTAATACTCTTTTTTCTTTGTTCAAAAATTTAAAATTATTAAGTTTTTTCGCAAGATTTAATGCATAAAAGTTTTAATTAAATTAGTGGTTATTAATTTAAAAAAAAAAAAAATTTTTTTAAGATACGTACATATATATACTTGTTTGATATACATATACATTCTATGCTCTTTTTTTACTTAAAATCGCGTTTTTGCTGTATCTGCAAACGGCAACAAACAATTATGCTAAGCTTATATAACAACAACATATGTAGTTCATTCATATGTAGTAATACAATGCAAATTTCAATTTACATACATACATACACTTGATTGTGCCACTACAAATTAAATGCTAACTGATTCGCCATATTGAAAATCATATATAAATAAATGTTTGTATGTATGTATACAATATAATTAAATAAATTCATTTATATTTAATAGATTTTTTTTTTATTTTACACACTTTTCGCTAATTTGACCGTATGCAGCCGGCTGCTGCTTTGTGCTTTGCAGCTTTTTCCACTCGCCATGCAGCGCTTTTGCGCGATTTTAGTTTTAGTTTTGTTGTTGTATTGCCTTGCGCACAACTGCTTACAACTGCTTACAACGCACATACAGTTAAATACAGTAAAATGCATTTTATATATGTATGTATATACTGCTATATAAGTATTACAACTACACCAACTATCGACACACACACATACACACAGTACAAGAAATCTACATTTGTATTTATTGTTAGTGTTGTTATTAGTTTCTTTTATAGATTTTATTTAAAGTTAAATTATGTTTATGCATTTCTTTGTGGTCTTCTTAATTTTAAGTATAAATTGAAAAGTCATCAATATTAAATATTTGTATGTATGTATGTATTCACATTCACCGCTACTTTTTATTATTTTTCATTTATTTATTTATTACTATTGACGCTTTTTCTGCTTCTATGCACGCAATTACGCTAATAATATTCATATATTTATGCATTAATTTATTTCTCATAGATTTTTTTTTTTTTGTTTTTTTTTAGATTTAGGTACATTTAAAAAAGATTATTACAAGTAATTGTTAGAAATGTCCAGCTATGCAACCAACTCTTTGCGCATTCACTATATTTCTTGTGTTTTCTTCTCCCTTTCTTCTCAGCTATGACTTTCGTTAATAACTGCTCACAATTTTCATTTTTTTTGTTGTTGTTGTTATTGTTAGTTTCATTTTATGTTTTGTAGTTGTTATAAAAGTTACTAAAAAACTTGCTAATTACATTTTAGTTGCTGTTGTTATTGTAAGTGTTTAGTACCTTATAACTTTATGACATTATTTGCTACATTTTTCACATTCTTATTTACTTTTTATTTTGCACGTTTAGTAGAAATAGCAGACATTTATAAATACAGTACAAATATTGTTAGGTTTTCATTAATTTCCTCTTGAACAGTGTAAAATGTGAAAATAAATACAAAATTTCCGTTTTAGTACATTATTCGACTCGGCCTCCAGTCGTTAGGTTCGTTATCACTACAACATTTACAGTTACGACTTTTAATATTAGTTGTAAAAATTTAAATAAATGTTAAAAGCATAGTCGTGTCCTGCAGTCCTCTTTGAAGCTGAGTTTATATCTTCTATATATACATATTTGTATGTAAGTATGCTTTCAAATGATTTTTTTGGCTTTCAGATTTTCATTGGTGGAGTAGGAAAAATTTGACGTTGGCAAGTTGGATGTGTGTTCTATTGATATTTATAATTTGTATGCATTTGTTTGATTAAAAAAAAATATTAAATAATTAATTGACACAACTATTTCGGAGGAAAAAATGAATAAATATTAATAATAAAAAAAAATAATAATAAAAAAATAATAATAATAAAATAATAATAAAAAAATAATAACAAAAAAAATAAAAATAAAAAATTAATAATAATAAAAAAATAGTAATAAAAAAATAATAATAAAAAAATAATAATGATAAATAATATTAAAAAATCGCATTAAAAAAATTATATTATAAAAATGCTAGTAAAAAAATTAGAATAAAAAGAAATAAAAATCATTAAAAAAATAAAAATAATATTAAAAAAATTTAAAAAAATAAATATAATTAAAAAATAAAAATAAATTAAAATAATTTAAAAACAATAAAAATTTAAAGTATACATAAAAATATTAAAAACATATATATGAATGTATGAAAAAAATATATAAAAAATTTTTAAAAAATAAAAAGAAATAAAAAAAAAGCATTAAAACAAATAAAAAGAATTAAAAAAAAAAATTTATATTAAAAAAAATTTAAGAAAACATATTAAAAAATTCAAATTAAAGAACAATACCTAAAATAAATATTTAAAATTAAAAAAATTAATTTAAAAAAAAATTATAAAATAAAAACCATAAAATGCAATCAAAAACAAAAAATAAAAATTTCAAAATAATTTTTATTTTAATACTAAACAAAATTCAAAGAATTCAATAAAATAGAAATTATAGAAAAAAAATTGTGTTTAATATGCACCAAAACATTAACATTTTAGATTGCCTACAATCGGGCGCATCCCTAGATAATATTGTAAAATGTTAAATTGAGTCATGAAATAAGCTCAGCCGTTAACATCGGTCGGTTTACTAAAAGTGTAGTTGAAAAATAAATAAGATGTGGATTTTCTGAAAAATCATCATCTTTTTCCTGCTTCGTTTAAAGTCAACATCCTTGGAAACTGTCTTATTCTAATATATGTTCCCGCACGGCTTTGATATAATTGGCATATAGAAAATAGCAAAATTTTACCACGATTTCGGAAAGTGCCATTAGAATATTTAAGAAATAAAAAAGCTTTCGATCTTATTAACCCAACAATCATGTTTTCTGTAATTACGATTTCACAAAGCTTAAAGACTTTCAAACCTCGAGCTTTCACTCATAAATAATAGTATGAAAGCTCGCAATATTACAAAGCCAATTTTTTTACGATTGAGTGCAATGCAAAGTAAAATGAAAGTTACTTATGAAGTATAAAATCGAAAGCTTGTCATTTTTATTGTAACTTTCACTTCATAATTTATAGGCAGCAAACAGCTCTAAAAAGCTTTTGAGATACAACTTACACACATACACTTTTTGTAAATGGATGTAGTTAATAATAACCGACAATAGAAGGTACGTAAATTTATGAAAAATAGCAAAATATTATGCACCTTTCCGAATTTTTTATAAATTTAATTTGCACTATTAAAGCTTTGGCATAAAGCTAAATCGACTGTTCTTACTTTGCATATGAATATATAAAGTAGACTGCGCCTAAAAGATGCAATGGGAACAGAAATAATATTTTGCGACTGATACGTCGAATTAAAATATACTTTTTTTCTCAAATTGGATAATTTCGGATGCTTTTATGAGCTTTATTAATTTAAAAAAAGTTTTTAAATTTTTTCTAACTATGCATTAACATTTTTGATTGCAAAAGAAATGCTTAGGAATATAATGCGCCTCAAAATATGCAAAATAAATCTCAGCAAATTAAAATTGCTGCATAATTTCAGGCGCAACAAAACTTTCACGCATGAAAAATCTGCCAAGCGACGCTCCACCGCTGTATCGAGTGAATAATGAAATAATGCAAGTCCAAAAAATGTACAACTACAATACGGATATGTTTAAAAGACATTTGTTAAGATTATATAAATATGTATAAAAATTAATAATATCAAATAAATGTTTGCATATATACAATTTTAATTTTTTTTTTTTGTTTTCTTTTGATTTTTTTGTTTTCTCTTGTTTTGACTTGTTAATACATGATGAGTGCGTTAAAATGTGTGGAGTGACATTTTTTGATGAAGTATTTTTAAAAATAGCATTTATGCGTTCAATATTACAGCTTTAGTTGCAAGAGGTTTTGTACAGTAAAACCTAGATATACATATAAAAAATTAGTAATATATAAAAAAGGCAAATGCAAATAAAATTCTGTAAAAAAAAATATTATAGCTTAAATAATAATATATGTTTGTATGCGTAAGCATACAAAGTAAAAAAAAAAAGAGTAATATTAACGAACATTTCGTATCTTTGGTTTAGGTGTGAACATAATAACATAGGTAAAAGCGGAGATAAAGGAAGAAATGAAGTATAAACTTATTTTATAAAATTTGGGAAAATTGCATGTCAAATGTGTGTAAGTTTGAGATATTTCAAAAAAAAAAAAAAAATATATATATATTAAGGAAAACTTATACAATTTTAATTTAAATAAAAAAATATATATATTAAACTATTTAAATTAATTAATTACAAGATTTAACACCTTTTGAGAGTTAGAAAACGAAAAATTTGTGCAAAAATAATTGTTTTTGTGTAAAAATGTGTTACAAAATATATATGTATGCGTGCTTTTTTATATATGTAGGTATTTTAAAAATTATATATTTTTTTAAGTTTATTAAATAAATATTTTCTCTTTATAAATAATTTTTTGAAGTTATTTAAATATTAAGGTTTTTTTTTTTGTTTTTTTTTTGTTTTAAAGTCAAATAAATAGCAACCGTTTGTTAGTTCGCATTGCGCATGCGCATACACTTATTTGTATTTTTTTTTTGTTTTCGCCTAACAATTTTTATTAAATTTTTTTATTAAATTTCTGTTGTTGCTAAATAAATACAGGCGGCATAAAAATGAGTGCGAAATGCGAGTGATTTTGCAAACAACCATAATGTTTTAGGAGACTAGGTGCATTTGAAATTTAATGATCAAACATTTTTAAACTTCTTTCTGAAGTTTTTGCTTACAATTTGACAAGAAAAAAGCAGTATGGAATGCACTGCTAAGAGGAATGAATTCGACGAAATTAAATTCGAAATTCATGCAATTGAAATTTTTTGTAAGTATATTGGACTGTCAAATCATTCTAGGCCTATAGAATCGCATGAATAACTTTAATATGTATTTAAATTTCGTACTGTTATGTTCATTGTTGGAATTTTTCCTTCACTTTCACTTTTATTTCGCTAATTATACTACATTAAATTTGTTTTATATTCTCATGATCAATGTACGCTAGCAACTAATACTAAGAAAAAAATAAAAATGCGCGCACGTGTATGTGTGTGTGATTAGTGCAAATGTTACACAAAATTTTACGAAATACATTATTTTTCAGAATGTCGGTATGTACGATATCTCAAATATATACAATTTTTTTCTTAAACCAATAATTACTAATTATTATTATTAATCTTAAGCGGAGAGCAACAACACTTAATTATTTTTTTTTTTTAGAAATTTATTTTTTTTAGAAGTTTTTTTGTAATTTATTTTTTTTCCAAACTATTTGTTTGAATTTTGCTCTCAGACACATATACAATTTTTTTTAAAATAATCTCGAAGGGTTGTTGTACAACAACATGCAGTATTCGAAAAATAGTTTAAAAATTTTTTGACAATACCAAAAGCTTTGAAAATTTAGTAAAAATGTAAAAATAAACTAAAATATGTCCTGGAAAATGAAATTTTTTAAGATTAAAAAAAAACGAGTTCAAAAGCGTATGTTTCAAAAAAATTAATCATTTTGAGACCGTCGAAATAAAGAACAGAAATAATGCAGCGAACGAGAACTTTGAAATTATTCAAAATTAGTTGTTTGAAATTTAACAAAAATTGTTTGGCGCTGAAAAGTAGGCAACGAAAGTTTTCATTAAAAGACGTTTCGCCACCTCAATAACTCCCGTTAGCCAAAATACAGCTCACTAGCTGAAAACCGTTGTTGTTGTATAAAAAAAAAAAGCACGATTCATATTTTTTATAATGCATGCATTCATTAGGCAACAACGCAGATACGCATCTAAATCTCGAAAACAACAATAATAAAGTAAAAACTTCGCAAAATGTTAGCATCGTTTTTTTAGTCAAAATTTTACACTTACACATTTTACGCACAACACACGCAAGTTCACCAAATTATAATCGATCAACTTAAAACAAAATAAATTAGTAAAATATTAATAAAAAGAAAAATAGTACTTTGCAATAATATTTACACACATATAAATACGTTAGAGAATCGTTAATTACTTATACACTTATGCGCTATATATATATATATATAAATATGTTTTATATGTATGCTTGTTGCTATTAATTATTACTAAAACTAAAATCATTTGTGCTAGCCAAAAACAGTTTGAGATAAAGATAGATAGAGAGATAGTGAAAGTGAGTGAGAGTAAGAGTTCGAAAGAGAGTTAGTGTATTTTTGAGATTGCGAAACGAGTGTCATGGAAGAAGCCACTTCCTGCAGCAGTTCCTTTCGGTCAGTCAAAATCGTGTACATATATATGTATGTAATATTATTATAACTACTGATTGCATTGCCTACATAGCGCGTATTCACTACTACGATTTTGTTTTTTCTTTTTTGTTTGGTTATTTTTTTCGAATTTGACATCCAATTGGTTAAGTGTCGGTTAACACTAAAATAACAATATTTTTCATTACATTGAGTGTTTTAGGGGTTTTTAAGAATTTCTAGCTTAATTTCGTTTAACAATACAGACAGAAAAAAAATACTTGCTAATATTGGCATTTGTTGTACGCAACTTTATCATTGCTTCCTTCTGGTCGGCACACGTCGTATATGTATGTGTATATATATAATTTTCGATTTGTATACATCAACAACGTCGTCCGCGGCGTACTCACAACTATACTTTTCGATTCATGTTAATCAATCACACTGCTCAGCTGATCGAATGTGGCGCTGCTGCTGCTCAGTCGTAAATGAAATTCGCCGAGTCACAAAGTGCATCGCTATCATCACCGAATTTCCCGTTCATCGTATAATTAGAACCAGTGCCGTAGACCCATTCTTTTTTAATGAAATCACCATCGGTGGTGGACGATGATGTCTGATGCAGCGGTCCCAATGAGCTGTGATCCAAACGAAAATCATCATCATCGTCTGGATACAATTGCACTGGAATGGTATCGGGTATGGAATGCGGGTCAAAGAGATTTCCATATGGCGGCAGCGAATGATTCAAATCGACATGATGATCCAAATCGCTATCGAAATTCGACATGCGAAATTTCGAACTTGGCGGCGAGTGTGGCGAATGATGGGCCGAGTCCTCGAACATGACCTCTTCTTTAATGAGCATTTCATTGGAATTATCGCCCGAACCCGACGAATATAGATTCGGTTCGACTTTGATAATGGCCGCTGTGGCCAAGGACGGGGAGGATTTCTCATCGTCGTCGTCATCATCAAAATGTTGACCATTCACACGCAACGAACGATGATGCGTACGTGTCGAATCGACAAAATCATCTAAATCGTCATCATCATCATCGTCCAAATGTGTCGGATGTCGACGCCGGTGGTTGTTGCTGTTGTTGTTATGATTTCGGTGGTTATTATTGCGCTGTAACGTACGTTGGTGGCTGCTCGATGACGATATAGACGAATTGAATTGTGACAAGTGATTGCGTGTACTGCGGATAGTGGAGGTGCCAATGGCGGTGGATGCGAGCGAGAGCGGAGCACCGGATTTCGACACAACCACTGACGAGGAACATGATGTCGACGAGGATGAAGGCGATGGCGAGGGCGAGGTGCCTATAATATTGAAAGATGAAGAAAAATATGAAATCGTTAGTATATAAAAATATTGCGAACACAACACAACAACAACAACAAAAAGAATTACAACACGTATAGCAATTGGCTAAAAACTACTCCCGCTTACCGATTTGTTGCACCACGCTCGCCAAAGCGGAGGAGAGTGTGCCAGCGCCGCCGGTAGAATGTATTATAGGCGTCTTGCGCAACAATTGTTGTTGCAGCGTACTACTGCCACTTTGGTTATTACTCTGTATAACGTTAGTCTGATGTTGCGTTTGTGGCTGTGCCAGTGCGACACCCTGTTCGTTCTGCATATAATTCTTGATGACAATGGTGCGTGTGGGTGTCACCAACAGTGGTTGTTGCCGCAATTGTTGTTGTTTTAGATCGTGTGATGCATTGGAAGACTCATTTGAAGAATCCTCAGCGTTAGTTGTTTGCATACACTGGCCACCGCCGGTGGTCAAAGAAGATGTGGATACAATGCGACTAACATTGCCGCCTCCTTGAATACTATCACTCAGTCCTGAGTTGTCATCTTCCATATCTTCGAGTAATTGCTTTTGCAAATGACGTTGCATGCCACTGGTACTTGGACCATCATCTTTTGCCTGTGGCTCCAGCTTTACAATTGTGGATGTCGTCGCTGCTGCTGACGTCGACGCTGTGGAGTTGGCTGTGCTCTTATCATTCTTTGCCGTATTGGTGGCTTGTGAGTTCTGATCGCGCTGATGCACTTGCATATGGGTTTGTAGCGAAGATTGTGTATGCAATTTTTTCTTGCACACTTTGCACTCAAAGGGAAAGTCGCCGGTGTGTGTACGCGCATGAATTTTCAAATTGTAACGCTGACCGAAACCTTTGCCACACACATCACATCTGTAAACAAAATTTAAAAACGAAAATGTAAATGTAAAAAAAAAGTACCGCTAAAAGAGCATGCATTTACTCACTTGTGCAATTTCACACCCGAATGCAATTTGGAGTGGCCACGCAGTGACGCCAACGCGCTAAATACTTTGCCACAAATCTCGCAAGTTAAATTCACATTTTCATTGTGAATCTTTTTGTGCACCTTGAAATATTCAAAACTCATGAACTCCTTGTGACAAACGTCACATTTGTATTTATGCCGTTCGGATTGCTGACCTGTGTGCACACGCATGTGCTTTATGAAATTCGGTCGGAAACGTACAACACGTCCACATATCTGACACTCGTACGGCTTGCAACGCAGACAATGTTTCTCGTAATTTTTGAGTGATTTCAAAACCATATTACAAATAGCGCATTTCATATTGTTAGCATGACCTGAAACATGAATGTCGTATAGCTCTTTCGATTCGAACTCTTCCACACATGAAAAACATTGATAATTGCCAGTTGTGTTGCCACTGGAAGTCGAGTTGGTATTGCCGCTACCATTTGAGGTGGCGTGAGTTGTACTACTCTTGGCCGCTGCCGCCGACGGGGTCGTCGTAGCAGCAGCAGTGGTAGCTACCACGGTGGAAGACGCAACATGACCAGAAGACGATAATGGCGATGATGATGATGCTGTCGATGGGGATGTAGATTGTGCTGGTGTTGGTGTTGCAGCAGTTAATGCCGGCATTATTGTTGGTGGAGGGGCAGTAACTGCCACTTCTGTAACGCCAGTTGATACTGGTGGTAATGTGGGTACAGTGGTTGCTGCAGTTGGACTAGAAGTAACCACTGTCATTTGCGTACCTGTGTTGGATACAGGTGTTGCCTGTAGGATAAGTTGTGTTGGCCCACCACCGGGTACACCCTGTTGTACTACATTTAAAACAGTCATAGGACTGCGACTTATCACAGCTGGCATACGCACGAAAGTAGCACCAGTCATGCCACCCATGGCATTACTGATATATACCGGCCGACGTTGCAGTTGTGCCAACGCTTCGGATACGGGCACTGTCAAAGTGCGGCCTGTCGTTGTTGTACCTACTATTGAACCGGCCGGTAAAACTATTTGTTGTGTTTGTGCGCCATGCAGTTGCGTATGGTGTGCAGTTATCGTGGGCGTACTTATATAATTTATACCACTTCTAATAAATTCTTGTTCTACATTATCATCTTGTTCCATTTTTATATCTGATGTATGCTGGAGCTGCAATTGATTCTCCTCAGCTTCAGCAGCTTGTTCCTCTTCTTCAATATCTTGTAAGTTTTCATCATTTAATTCGGGATCCGCTTCTTCTTCTTTTATCATATTTGATGTTTGTGTTGTTTGTATGATGATCCGACGACCATTCAATAAATGATGTTGCGCCATTGCTTGTGTTGCTGCAATTGTCGCCGCGGCACCGTCACTGGTCACATGTGCTCTTGGGAATTCGGAAGCGCTTGTTACTATTATATTCGGTGGGTTTTGTAGTTTAATGGTAGGGTTAGAGTTAACGCTGCTGACTGTATTTATATTCGCAGATACGTCATTATTTAAATGATCGTTAATATCATTGTCATCATGCTCCATGGGAGCTTCTTGCAGAATAAATTCGATTTGTTGTGAAAGTGCGCTATCGTTCATAGCAATTAAGCCATCTAAATCCTTGCTATTAACTAATGAGCTACCGCCATTATGATCACTAACAAAGAGAGATGGCAAAGTATTGCCCACGACACCACTGTGTGAAGTTGTGCTGCCAGACCCATTTGCGGCGCTGCTGGCCATTTCCATCCTTTGTTAAATTGGAATTTTTCGTTTCAATGTAACTACTATTCAACGGCTATAATAAAATCAACTTTTTCTTTATTTGCTTTATAATTTTTTTATGCGAACTACTATTACAATAACTGGCAAGACAATCATATATTTCTCTAATTCGTCTGTTTCTTGATTTTCTTGTCAATCAGTCGAGAGTTTCTTACAGTTCTCAGCCTCCACGCTGAAATTTTTTAATGTCCCGCATTTTCACATCATTTTATTACGATTCATTTTTTCTTTCCGACTTTCGCGCACTCAATTCACCTTCACCTTTTCTATTGCTTCTTCTTAAATTCCACTTCCACTTGTGCTTCTACTACGGTCCGCTTCTTGCGTTTATTGATTTCCTTTTTGTTTGAGATTTTGTGCGGTATCCGCGTGTGTGTGCGTTTGGTTGTGTGCGCGTGTGGGAAATTTTATTTTAGCAAGTTAGTTTTTCATACAAAATTTATAAAACCCTTCCATACTCCAATAATTCACAACGTAAATTTTATTTAGTTTGCACTTAGTACACTTTATCACTTGTATTGCCTTATTTTTAATGAGCAGTTTTTTTATGAATTGAAAATTTTCCGTGCGCTTTACTTTTCACTGCGTTTTTTCGCCCTCCTTGCATTGTTCTGTCCAAATTTTCGCTGCGCCCCCTCAACGAGTTTGATTTTCTCTTTACGTTCGTTTATTCTATTTTGCCTGCTTCCTTCGTAGAAAACAGGTCTGCATTTTTAAGTACTACTAATAGAAATTTTAAACAAACCATACACCCGTTATAATGAATGCTAGTCAGATATATCTATAAAAAAAAAAATTTATAATAAAGAAAAAATTAAAAAAAAAAAATGGATTTGAAGGTAAAATACTATAATTAAGTAAAAATAAAAATTGTTGTTTTTGTAGATCGAAATGAAATATTCGCAGTAAATATTTCAATGACCTAGGCTATGTAATGCAATATAATAATATCTGAGCACATGTGGTATATCTCTGGAAATATTTGGTATTACTTTGATATATATTATGATTTCACAGCATTACCAAAAACCCATTAAGTTTTGTAAATATGTCACCCTTTAAGTAAAAACAAAAGCATTACAATAATAAATCAACCTGCTTTTGCAACCCGTTAAAAATTTCTACATTTTTCTTTTCGCATTTCGCGTCTGCGGTCTACTTTAGCTTTGTTCTTTCGTTTTGTATGGCGTTGCCTTTACTCCCGTTCATTCTTGTCTATTCCAACTCCACCTCATTCGCTTTATTAGCGCTTCTTTTCGGCTACTTTTTATTGACACATTCTTTGAACCCTTGCTTCCTCATTCCTCTTAAACAATCATTTTAACATTTCTTTTCCCACTTTACTATTACTTTGGTCCTTTTGCGTTTTGCTCAATAGCCAACCATTAATCACTTTTTCATTCGCAATTTTTAAGACTATAATTGCCTTTCAGCCGCTTTTTATTCATGGCGCACCTTAACAGTATTATATACTTTAAATTATTTCGTAGCTTTTATACAAATTACCACTAGAAAATTTATTTACAATTAAACTTTTTCACAGCGATTACTATTTTACCATTCACTACCGTTCCTTGTCCGACGTGCACACAATGCTGCCACAGTAATGGTGGTTAAAATCAGCAAATTTATTGAATTTTTAACGAAAGAAACCTAGTAGATATAACTCTATATTTTAGGTAAGTAGAATTACCGTATTATGCATTTTTTAATATATATCTCTTCCTATATTGTTAAACAATATAAATTGAATTTTATTTAATTTGCAGGTCCAATCACTCACTATCGCTGTGACTAGCTAGTAGTCGATAGATGGCACGGCAAACGTTATGTTATTATAAACAGAAAGCAAAGTTTTTATAAAATTTGTTTTTTATTTTATTATAAAATTAATGTTATTACCGATTGATTAGCTTGAAACAAGTAGCCTCTCTTAACAAAACAGCAATACATAGACGTATTCACAATTTTCAAATTTTATATCATATGTACATAGATCTGTAATTTTTATAGACAACTTTATCGAATTATATATATTTTGACCAATCTCTGAATATATATTAATTTACTTCTCCACATGTTTTTAATGCAGAAATAATCGATTATTTCTACTCCGATATATAAAAATGTTTAGAAATTTTTATTAACTAGTGCTCAACTTGTATAAATTGTTGGCTTCGCTATACTGTTGCTTAATTCTCATTGTAAATTACTAAAATTAACAAACAAAATAATATTCTTTACGATTTATCCGATTGTTAAGACAACGATAAATATTTTACCACCGACACCCAGCTGGTGATAATCGATAAAATATTTGGTACTTTTCTTGCAACCTGCCAATTGATATTGGACTCTGCTGGTTACATTGGTCGCCTGCAAATTGCCCAGCACACATTGTTTTGTTGTTGTGGTGAGCGGTTGGTTTGCTAGTTTGCTAGTTTTCTAGTACGCAAGTTCGCAAGTTCGCTTTTGTAACGTTGATGACGGCGGTGAAAAGCAACGTTTGGCTTAAACTTTTTCGCATTAAAGTTTTGTAATGTGTTTGAGCGGAAAGTCGCGCATGAAAGCATAGAGTTTTCCAAAAAAAAAATAATTGCAATACGCATAAATTAATAAAAAAAATTCAACCATTTAATTTAAAACTGAGTTTTGTGCGTATGTGTGCTCAACGTAAAAAGAACAACATTTTGTTGTTGTGTGCTGCACAAAGCTGCAGTGTTTATTGGTCGAGTGTGCGATTTTTATTGCGAGAGCTCGGGAAATTTGTGTAAATCGATTCATATAGGAGAAAATTATAGAGAAAGGATTTTAAGTAAATACAAAGCGTGAAATTCTTTCTCCGAAAAAGAAGCAAGAGGAAAATAATATAAGTACGACTATATTTTGTTTGTGCAAATTGGAAAAAATATAAACTAATTCGTTATGGTTTAAGTGATATTGTAAAGTAAAAGAAACAAAAATTGCTCATTGTGTGTTGCTTATGTTGTTGCTACAATTGCGACGTATCGTGTTGTTTTCGCTGCCAACAACTTTTAATTCTCTACACTAAATGAAAAATCGCCTTTTGGCTGGTAAATATCTGAAGAGGTGAGATAAGCAAGAAAACACAAAAAAAAGTAGCAAAATATCGTGAAAAAAATAACCTAATGGGTAGATGAAAATCGCTTGTGTACAACTGTGTGGACATGAAAAGATAGAAATATTTGTATATGCCATAAGAAAATTTATTGCGATTATCTAAAGCAAAACGAAGGCCACTACAATATTTGTATGTTTTAATGTATATTTTTTTTTAAGTGTATGTGAAAACTTATCAAATCATAATTAGTGTTGCTAAATGTTGTTCCTGTAGGAAAAAATGAAATAATAACAAATCGTGTAGTGAATTTGTTTAGAGGGAAATAAGTGAAGGAAAATATAAGTCAAACGTAGAGCAAAAGCAGTGAGAGCGCGCAAAAGCAGCTGAGAGCGTACTTCCACTGCTGTTGGTGCATGTACGAATGTGTGTATTGTTGCAGTTTTGAAAAACAGACGAAGAAGTCCAAATAAAAATAAAAAAAATAATAATAATGTTACATTGTACAACCAAAATATATTAGAATTTTTGTATCAAAGCTTTTTATAATTTTGTATTTTAAAGAGTTGTGCGTTTTTTAGTTGATTAACATGTGCAAAACACAATATATTTCTTTCAAGGTGTAAAAATACACTGGTCAACACAGCCGCCCACACCCAATATACATTATCTTTCGTATGAATACATACAGACATAGTATATGTTTACATGTCAATATCTTTTGCCTTAGGCATTCTGAATTCTTTTATTTATTTACAACGGAGGCTAAGGTCTACCACATCAGCGGCGAGGACGCGGACGTCATTGGTGCGTTGCTGCGGCTCATTGCCATATTACATAGGCATATACTTGTGTACACATGTGCATAGATATTACACAATAAATAGCTAAAAATAATTTGTTTTGGTTAATTTTTGTTTTGTTTTTACTGGGAAGTGTTGATTAAATAGATTTTCCAATTGGCCAAATTTATTTCAAGGCGGTTTTGGTAGCGGCTCTGATGTTCATGTCCAACAAAATATCAGAAATTTTATCATTTTTGTAATGGTTTTAATTCTATGAAAGATTCAATTTTGTGCGCCTAATTTAATTTTTTTCTTTTTGTGAACTTTATTTTATTGAATTACTTTTTTGTATTTCTATAAAATTTTGTGTATCAGCACTAAATTTGAGTTTTCGCTCAAGGTCAATAACAGCGTAATAAAAATACAGAAATAAAAATTAAAATTAAAAAATCGAAAATTTAAAAACGCACATTTGCTGAAATTCTTCGTTGGCGGTACAGTAGCAGCGATAATGTCGACAACTTCATCTATTGATACACCCACATCTCCGAGTGCGCCATTGCCATCCCATCAATCACACCATAACCACCACCACCACCGGCACCAACATCAACCTCAACAACATCAATATCAACAGCATCAGCATCAGCATCAACATCATCCGCATCAGCATACGACTACAGCAATTGTTGTCAGCGCTGGCGCTGGCTCCGGCCATCATCACACCAATTCGGCCAATAATTTCACTCACTTCAGCCGTCATCGCACCCATTCGTCCTCATCTTCATCGAATAATTCTTTTAGTGGCGTCACTGGTGTTACCTCCATGAAGTCTGGCACAGCAGTAGGTAACACCAATAATGTCAACGGTAACGGTAACGGCAACGGCAACTCTAATGGCAATGGCAACGGCAACGGTAATAACTATAAACCAAATAACAGCAATGACGGCAGTAGCTTCAGTGGTAACGGCTGTGGCGGTGGCAATGCGGGCAATATTCACAATCAATCAACACACTCACTACTGACCCCGTCATCGTCGACATCCTCGTCACCTTCAGTATCGGCCTCGGCCTCCACTTCGGCTGCTGTGCATCACTCACATCCGTACCAACAACAAAATCCCCCGTTGCAGCAGCAACATCAGCAGCAACAGCAACAACAACAATACACTTCGTATTCACAACGCGGCGTTGCAAGGCCATCAACGTCATTCTCGACCCCTGACGGCACTGTAACCGCTGTGGCCGTCACGACCATCTCCACGAACACACCGGGCAGCATGAAGCGCCATCACACCGACGTATCGGTGTGCTCGTCCGGTTCATCGTCGTCTTGCTGCTCTAGCACCGGTTCGGTTTCGGCAGTCGGCGTTATGGGCGCCGCTGGCTCTACAGTGAATGCTGCCATCGTAACTACACCATCTGTGGTAAGCAGCAATGGCGGTGCGGTGATTACGCAGAAATTGAGCAGGACAATTCCATCAGATAAGGTGAGTGTGTGTGAATTGAGAAGTGAGTGATGAATTTGACCAACTAATCGATAAATACCTATGTAAATTTATAAAGAGAGTAAATGAAGTGCATGAGCGTATTGGTATACAAGCATGTATACATGTATATATATATATATATGTATATATATATATGTGTGTGTATGCGGTTTGTAGGTCGAAAGCCAATTAATTTCTAGCTCAGCTGGATTTCTAAATTCTATCAAAATAATGCGCAACAATAATCTGCTTTTAGGCGCACAGCTGTGTTTTTTGTTTTCTATGTTGTTTTCTTTTTTGCATTAATCTTCTCTTGTTTTTTTTTTTTTGTAATACTTATTTCCACATTTACCTTGTCCCGTTTGTCGCTCAGTGCTCGTATTGATTTTTATTTCTCCTTGCAATGAGAGCATGTTTCAATGTTAACGCTGTGCGAGATTTTAGGCGCATGAAGGAATAAATTCAGGGCCAACAGCGCTGCGCTGCGCGTATTGGCCTTCGAAAATTTGTTGGTAACAAGCTGAGGGCGCTCATCTAACTGTGGGTGCAATATGGTCAGAGTTGCCCATGTGACACATACATACATACATACATACATATATGAATAGGTACGTATGTATGTGTATTTTTTTTATTGAGTGACACCAGCCAATCTGTTTGACATAAATTTTTACATTTTTAGGTTAGTACGAATATTATACTTATAAGGGGATAACGGCTATTGACACTTCGCAATAACTTCATGAAAAGAAAAATAATAAAAAGATATAGTATGATGAAATGCAGTTATAAACTCTCAAACTTGAATTTAATTATCTTTGAGTCGGTATATAATTTACTTGTATTTAAAATAAATCGGTTTCTTTTTGGTTTTGACTTTTTTTGGTGTAATTTCTTTGAGGTAATTGTCAGCAATAAAATCGAAAAATCTGCCCGCATATAATATGTAGCATTGAAGAACCTTACCAAATCTTGGCTGGACATAGATTTGCAACTGTGAATTTCTGTTCTTTCAAATAGCGTAAGCTCGATTGCATTAAGAAGCACTAAGCTTACCACTAACGGGCTATTATTCTTTGTAAGCTTTTCCGTATAAGCAAATTTACATTGTCCGATTAGTAGTGAACATAATTAAAAGAAATTCTAATTTTAGGTTATCTATTTGTTCGAATATATATGTACATAAGTATGTATGTATTATTAGGGTGGAGCGAAAGACATTTTTTTTGTTTTTGCTTAGACTGAGAAATATTTTTAACATCTAGAGGCGGCGCGGCGCCCACTCACTTTTAAAGTAAATTTCGAGTTAAAATTTTTATTTCGTAAACAATTTTTGACAAGTGTTCTAGAAGCTGTGGAGAGTCCTCTTTCTGGCCAATTAAAAGTTATCAACTTAAGAAAATGCTTGTGGTCATTATTGGAGTTTTAAAAAAAACTTTTCAACGACAACATACTTTCCTTAAGCGTTAAAATACATTTAGAGTCAAAAACCGTCAAATTCAGTAATTTTTATATAATGTGAAGAGTTTAAACCAAATAAATATTTTTTTTTTGTCCAAAACAAATTTTAACTCGAAATTTACTTTAAAAATGAGTAAGCCTAGATCTACAAATTTTACCCTCAGACTAAGCAAAAAAAAAAATCAATCAATTTTTTTGCTCCACCCTAATATGTATGTACATTCCCAATCTGTCGAACTGTAGTTATTAGCTAAAATAATGCGGCTACCGAGAGCAGTAAAGGTATTACACCTGCCAATATCGCAGTTACGTTTTCGGTATAATTTAGAGTTACCAATATCAGAAACTAAAACCATATGGACACTTGGAAACGGTTTTCATACATTTAGTATAACTGAAAATGCTTAATTTGAGTTCGATTGTTTTTTTATTTTAAATTCAAGTTTGAAGTTTTTTCTTTAATAATCGTTTGATCTCAAGATCACCAAAGACATATTATATTTGATAGGGTTTAAACCAGGGTTGCAGATAATAATTGAATTAACTTTTATTTTATTTTGTAATGCCAAATACCGGATTGAAAAAAAAATCCACATATCGGATTAATAAATAAAAACGAAATTTTTTTAAATAAACTCACTTAGTTAAGACGCCACAAATTTTTTTTATTATGAGATTTTTTTTTTGTGTTTTTAATTTTTTATTATTATTATTTTTTATTTATTTTTATTAGTTTCTTTTTACCGGATTAAAAAATGAAAACTAAAAATTTTAGTCCCAAGCATATAATTAAAAATTAAAAAAAAAGAAATGGTTTCAAAATTTATAATTTTTCCGTGTTTGCGTACTTCATTCAAATTAAAAAAAATTAGATTTTCAATTTTTAATTCCAAACGAAACAAAATTAAAATCTAAATTTTAATGCCAACATCGGGATCAAAAATGGAAATTTTAATTTTAATCCTCAGTAATAAAAAATTAAAATTTAATTTTTAATGCAAAATTTGTTAATTATAAAATTCATAATCCTGGTCTAAACCATACCGAATTATAACAAAAAACCCTTTCAGATAGTTGACATTTCGGAAAATCTGGGATGTGATTAATATAATAACAGAATATTTAGGTTGGCGGATAAAACAAAAGAATCGTTAAAAAATTCCGATTGGAACAAAAAACCTGTTTCAGAAAAGATATTGGAACCTACTCGTTAAAAGTCGCAGTATATTATATTTGGAGTAAAATTTTGTAAAATATTTACTGCTCGAGGTGCGTTTAATCTACAATTTAACAATTTACTAACAACAAAAAAAATACAAAAAAAATGTATTTTTTATTAAAATTATAAAAAAAAACAAATAATTTTTTTTATAAAAAATAAATTTGATACGCGTACCCCAAAAGCTGACATTTTCCGACATTCATAAATGGTCCCCCTACTCACCTTAACTTTCAGAAGTCTCTTTGAGTGACTATCGTAATCGGTGACTCATTATCATTTGTTCCATAGTTAGAACTTGAGTTGTGCTGCATAAAATATTTTCGTTAAATTTTTTTCATTCTTTAATATATGTGTTTTATTAAGTCGCTTTAAGATCGTTTGCCAATCACAGAGCTAAACAAGCTCTAATCTCAATTACCGCTGTCAAAGAAGCTTTGAGTTTTGAATTGCAGCCGACCTTTGTGCGCTAACCGCCGTCGCCAAACACCGCGCTCCACATTGTAGACAAGCATTCAGACTCACCTGCCTCATCTTCTTTCATTTGTGCCGCTTTTCCGTGCAAGTTGGTGCCTGCAAAGCGAAGCCATAAAGCACAAACAAATGCAAAGCCAACTTACAAGTTCTATCACCACAATTAACAACAACAACAAACATTTACAGCTTCTACTGAAGTTCTTGTAAAAGGTGGAAAAATGTTCAAAAGATAAAACAACGACAAAAACCAAATGAGAGTGTATATGTATGTATGTATGTGTGTACAAAAATATGTTGCTCCACTTAACTCAATACCTGCGGCTGTCACAGCTGCTCTAGCCGCTGCTTGGCAACCATCAAGGAACACGACGCCGCTGCCCAGCAATGAGTGGTAGTCAGCAAATTAGTGCACAGCTGGTGCGGCAGTGACAGAGGACTTACGCGATGCACTCATTTCATGGCAGCGACGGCAAAGTACAAGCACTGCAAAGGATCAGCAAGGATAAGCCTGCTTTGCTGCTCCGCTTCGGTGTGGCGAAATGCGAAGCAATTTCTCATTGTTCACAGCCAGCGCATTGTTGTTGTTGTTGCCTCTGCTGCTTATGCTTGTTTTCGCTTTTGTTATTGTTGTTATTGCATTTAAGATGTTGCGCGCGCCGCGCACAGAAAGGAAGATGCCAAGGAATGTCGCTGGAACAAAACAAAAAAAAACCGCACACACACACACGCACCCAGACGTGAAGTAGAACTGAAAGGGCCACAAACGGCACATCAAAAATCCAGTTTATATAAAGATTGAAGCGCAAAAGAGTTAAGGAGCGTGTGGAGTGGAATAGCGAGTGCTTGGGTTGGCTGGTGGGAAAAAGCGCGACGATGGATGCTGGCATGCATTGTTTCGCAGACGCTGAATCCATTAAGCGCGCATCCGCGACTCAAAATTCTTCTTATGTATATGTGTATGTATGTATGTGCGCGCAAAGGAAAATAAATTGAAAGGCTGCAAGTAAAAAAAAATATTAATAATAATGATTGTGTGTGTGTTCTTCCACATCCACTTACTTTGGCTCGTTGTGGCACAGGCGCACACTCTTACAATGCGAAATACGAAATTCACTTTTTTTTTTTGCGTTGTCGGCATTGAAACAAAAGCGTCGCGTTCAACTTTATTCTTTTGTTCTCGCAGTTCTGGTATCTAAAAGGCAATTTTCGCTGCTTTAAAATGCAGGTAGAAATTGTTTTGCTTTGCAAACAAAGCGGCGGCAATATTTTGATTGATTATTATCAAAATTAGCCATTTGGAATATCTTATCTTTTGACTTTATGATGCTGAGGAATTTGCGATTTGATTCATATATGTTACATTTTAGATTGTATTTTTTCTACACGAGCCAGCCCCATTTGCATTTTAGAATTGCGGCACATAGCGTTGTTTTTTTTTGTGCGTAGCAAATGGCCAGAGAATGCGGAAAATATTGCGGTGGTATCGATTAGTGAAAACTTGCAGATTTAGACGTTAGAGGCTACGAGTTTACATACCCGACTATATACTAAAATTTTACTCTAATTCTTCCTCTTTTTACCCTTTTACTTTTAAAAACCTGTTTTATGTAAAGGAATATAATTTTGTATTGTTCAGGTTGCGAGGGAATAATTGTTTTAGAAATATAAGAGGTCAGTCTTACTATAGAGTATCACTTGTCAAAGAATACTGCTCCAATGTTTTGTAGAGTTCTAAACTCATAACCCTTTTAGGCCAACTGAAACGAAAAAAAAGTTGGGGTTTCTGGGGAAGACTTAACCTGAAATATTTTTAAAAATATTTGTAGTTTTTATCGTAAAGACA